TAATAAGGAGCGCATACCTCTCTGTGCCATCCGATGCATCGCTAAATCTGAAATACCATCTCTCGTCTCGTGCAAGCGAAGATGGCAATTGACCTTAAAATGCAGCAGCGCTAGCGAGCGTTAGGCCGGGCCGAATGCCGCGGTGAATACTAACAGGGCATGTTACAGTACGGCGGCTCTACACGCGCGGTAGAAGGGGGACACTCTTAATTCCATTCACTCCACAGCAGGAGTGTTGCGAGGCTGTGGAGAAAATGATTAAACGTGTAGAAGTAATCGCATGGCTGGTCTGATGGCGAGTGGGATCTACATCTGTAGCTTCCCTCGACGCTCTGCTTAAATCGGATGCTTATTTCTCCCCACCCTACTCCCACCACTACCTACCATCAACCTGGAGGCGGGATGGATGGGTCTACCTCCTGTGTTAGACCATGAAGGCTTGGGCATATCTGAAGGTCTGGCGCGAATACGAACGATTTAACCCTCTTAGGTTAGGCTACGCTGGGCTTAGGGTCTTGCGAGAAGTTAGACAAATAGCATCCTCGAGGTTAGGCCACGGCAGAGGAGCTGAGTAGTTGGACGTTGTAGGCATTAGCTGTCCGTTAGAATGTCCGTTACGTAATTACAGCAATTCTTACCGCAGATGTGCACACACAATGCGGGCCACGATTAAGCCCCAGTGGAGTGCGGGAGAGGGATCGCGGGCGTCTGCGTAAACAAATGAACGTGCCTCTCTATGTGTCACGAGCCTACCATTGCCGCTATTCTAGGCGCCGCATCGCAGCTTTTATCCACGAGAGTTATTACCTGCTTCCCGGTCTGTCTACCCATCCATCCATCCATCCATCCATCCATCCATCCATCCATCCATCCATCCATCCATCCATCCATCCATCCATCCATCCATCCATCCATCCATCCATCCATCCATCCATCCATCCATCCATCCATCCATCCATCCATCCATCCATCCATCCATCCATCCATCCATCCATCCATCCATCCATCCATCCATCCATCCATCCATCGCA